CCCCCAGCCCAGCCAGCGCCTCAACGAGCTGCTGGACCAGATTCGCAATGAGTTCGACACCGAGAGCCAGCGCAGCGTCGACTACGAGGGCCAGAGTGAGTAGCCCATTTCCGACCCACAGGCGCCATTGTCGCCGCATGGAATCCGCCTTCAATCAATGCACTTGCCCATCGCTAACCACGGTGCGAACAGTCACCAGACACATCCAGGAGATCGAGATGATCCGCGGCAAGGTGTACTCCCTCGAGCAGCAGCACGTCCAGATCAAAGCAAAGTGAGTAGCGCCTGCACTGCAACCCCCGCTGGCAAGGGCAAGGCCGCAGGTGCCACAGCGCCGCGCTTGTCACCGTGGGGGGGTTTGCGAGGGAAGGCGCCGAGGCTGACAGCTCACGATAGGTACGAGGACGAGATTTCACGTCTGCAGCGCGAACTGGAGGCCCGCGGCGGCCCCAGCCAGAATTCGCAGCACCATGGTCCCTCGCAGCCGCCTCCGCCGTCAATCGGCCACGGCCCGAGCAATTTGTTCGGCGGCATCATGGCCGGCAATAACCAGGGTGGTCCGGGCTTGGCTCCTCCGCCGCAGGAGCCTCAACAGCCCGGGCTCCCGCCTCACCTCGGAGGACAAGGCCCGCCTGGTTTGAATCCCGCCCCGGGTCCTCCCCAGCACTTCGGCGGCTACCAGCCGGGCCCGTCAGTCAATGGTGAGATGTTCCGTTCGTGCTATGCTGATATGCGGAGAAGGCGAGCATGACTAACAATACCAGGCTACGGACAGCCTCCCCAGCCTACCGCATCGCCCGGGCCTAAGCGTCCCGGGCCCCGCGGCCCTCCTGGTCCGGCAACACCTCAGCAGAACAGCGCTGCTCCGTATCCCGGTTCGCCCCAAGTGCCCCGCCCCACACCCCCGCCGCATCAGCAGCACAGTGCATTGATGCCGCCGAACCCGGGTCCGGTGCCGCCGCTGTCGCAGAGTAACATTCTGGCCGATCTCGACGTCGACCAGCTGCCCGACAACCTGAAGAAGGACGGAACCGATTGGTTTGCCGTCTTCAATCCCCGCACGAGGCGAGTCCTCGACGTGGACCTGATCCACAATCTTCCTCACCAGAGTGTCGTGTGCTGTGTTCGCTTCAGTCTGGATGGCCGTTTTGTTGCTACTGGATGCAACCGCTCTGCCCAGATCTTCGACGTCGAGACCGGTAACCCAGTTGCCCATCTTCAAGACAGCAGTTTGCCTGAAGACGGAGACCTGTACATCCGTAGCGTGTGCTTCAGCCCCAACGGCCAATATCTGGCTACGGGAGCCGAGGACAAGGTCATTCGGGTAAGATCAAACTTTGATTGCATTTCTTAACAGTCGCTAACCTGCATAGGTGTGGGATATCGCTAGCCGTACGATTAAGCATCAGTTCACTGGCCACGAGCAAGATATCTATTCCTTGGATTTCGCCCGAAACGGTCGCATCATTGCATCCGGGAGTGGTGATAGGAGTGTCCGCCTCTGGGATCTTGAGACCAACCAGCAGGTTCTCAACCTCTCAATCGAAGATGGTGTCACAACCGTGGCAATCTCCCCCGACAACCGATTTGTCGCTGCCGGATCCCTTGATAAGAGCGTGCGCGTCTGGGATGCCGTCAACGGTAATCTCGTTGTACGTCTCGAGGGCGAGCAAGGCCACAAAGATAGTGTCTACTCCGTTGCTTTCGCTCCTTCTGGCGATCGCTTGGTCTCTGGCAGTCTCGACAAGACTATCAAGATGTGGGAGCTCAATACTCCTCCGCGTCTGATCCCGGGCACTGCTCCTGGTGGAAAGTGCATCCGCACCTTCGAAGGACACAAGGACTTCGTTCTCAGTGTTGCGCTCACGCCGCATGGCGATTGGGTACTCAGTGGATCCAAGGATCGCGGTGTTCAGTTCTGGGACCCCCACACCGGTGTGGCCCAGCTCATGTTGCAAGGTCACAAGAACTCGGTCATCTCTGTCGCACCCAGCCCGGCTGGAGGCATTTTTGCTACTGGCAGCGGCGATATGCGTGCTCGTATCTGGAGGTATGTCAACATCCCATGATCCGCGGAATATGTATCAGACGATATGTCTCACAACCTTGTGATATCTCGATACATTCCCGACTGCCCCACATTTGCCCCCACCGCACGTGGAGGCCTCAATGCCTCACAGAAGCTAATTGTTTTACAGATTCGACCGCTACCACGGCCCGTGAAGCACGTCCAACGTCACTGCCGCTTAGCGGACCTCGGCAAGCCCGTGTCGCGCGACCCCATATACCCATTTTGGCTACGATACACGGTCACGGACACCCTTTACGGCTACAATATTCAAATGTTTCTCTCTCTTATTATGGTAAAAGCAAGTGCGAAGGACACAGTACTGGGGCGGTAAAAGCGCTGCCGAACGTTATTTGTTGATGGGGGAGGGGAAATGTAAAGGGAATAGCTTTCTGAGTACTTTTGGTTTTTTTTCTTTTTGAGTGAGTGAGTGATTGATTGATTGATTGATTGAATGTTTTTTGGCGCTTTTATTGTCGTTGGCCATTTATGACGGGTTTTATGCGCTTGGGATTGGAATGGGTTGGAACCCGTTAGCATGGTTTGGTAGGCGGAGAGGGGCGTAGGTAATTTATTATCTTTCTTCGATTGTGATAGGTGTCGTGTGGTGCGTGCTGTGATGGTGGTCTGGGTATGGTTTTCTTGTTTTGTTTGCTTTTCAGTCCGCTGCGTCGTGATAGGCTTAGATTATATACCAAGTATGGCTTTGGTTGCGCTGTTATTTTCTATTGCTGTTGTTTTGATTATAGTGTCGGTAGACTTGAGTTAGACGACTTTCATGAGAGAATGAGAGTTGGAGGATCGAGACGGTAGGGTGGGAGGACGTTGCTGTTATAGTATAGTGTGATGGATGGGGGGTAATGGAGTAGTGAGATGAATGGTAGCAAAACAAATCGTTATCTGTTCGAGTAATACTGGTTCATGCGGTCTCTATTATCGAAGCAAAAGCGAAACTGTCACCAGCTGTGCTTAAGATGAAGAAAAGATGGATGATTAATGGATGCTGCAAGGCGAGACTAACCTAAGTGAGCGTAGTGCATTGCGGAGGTGATGCCAGACCTCCGAAACACTTCACGAGCCATCCAACACGTCTTCCCTCTCGACACCCTCATACACTTTGTTTTCTGCGCATCATGCTTCCGGCGGCCCATTGGAGCAATTGAAGATGCCGGCATCCTCGCACAGGCGCAGCAATGACGTCTTGCAGTCCCAGGGTTTCATTGGGGCTGCGGCACGCTTCTGGCAGGTATGACAGTGTTGCGCCTCGCAGTCATACAGCTCGCTAATTGAGTATATCCAGCGCTCATACGCCTCTGACTATGTTGGTCTTGCCATGTTGATCACTGGCTGGATTGTGGTATGTTGTCAACTTCGAATGTAGAGAATACAATGGGGACAGCTGGCTAACCAATGGACATGTTGTAGATACAATTCTTTGGCGACCCCTTTCATCGCATGTTCTCTCTAGACAACCTCGCAATCCAATACCCCCACGCTGAAATAGAACGCGTTTCAGTCCGTACGTTCGCCCTCGCGTCCCTCTCGACCCTCCTCCACCACCCGGAACTGCACCGTACCCACAAAGCTGACTCGATATCCAGCATGGCTCTTTATATACGCGGGCGCCATTCCTCTCGGCACAATTGTTGCCTGGGCCATCATTTTCCAACCCGGTGGCCATAAATCACACGTTACAATACTCGGGTGGTTCATCTCGCTGATCCTCACGCTCTTCATAACCGACTTGATCAAGAACGCCGTAGGCAGACCTCGCCCTGACCTCATCGCACGCTGCAAACCCGCCCCTGGAACGCCCGACCACCAACTCGTCACCTTCGAAGTCTGCACCGAGGAGAACCACCACGTCCTGCACGACGGCTGGCGCAGTTTCCCGTCCGGCCACAGCAGCTTCTCTTTCAGCGGCCTCGGCTATCTCGCCATCTTCCTCGCCGGCCAATGCCACGTCTTTCGTCCACGAACTGATCTCGCTCGCGTCCTTCTTGCTCTTGCTCCATTCCTTGGGGCTGCCTTGATCGCTATTTCGAGATGTGAGGATTACAGACACGATGTTTACGATGTTACGACAGGCAGTGTACTAGGCACATTAGTCGCTTATTATACCTACAGGAGGTATTACCCGCCACTCAGAAGCACAAAGTGCGCGACGCCGTATCCCAACCCGTCAGAGGGGTTTGGGAAAGTGAAGGATGAAGAAGGAATGGTTAGAGGGGCAAATGATTTTGAGCTCGAGGATATTGAGGAAGGTGATGAGGGCGATGAAGAGAGGAGGCCCTTGAACAGCCGGAGATAGAGGGTGTATCTATCACGGTTGAAGGGGATTGAGGACTTGTCCACCTCACTACACCGAATATGATACTCGGAAGTGTTGACGCCTGTATGTTGGAACAATCGACTCCGTGGTTTCCGCCAAACGTGAATGTAAAAAAATACTCTTGTGCTTCTCTGTAGTGTTTATTCCACTGAGTATACCGTTATACTAGGACTTGGTGCACCTCTACGTTTTCTCATACTTCTAGGAATATCAATACTTTGTACTGTATAGTCATTGACGCTTGGAAATCGAGCTCCTCCGCTTACTTGTACTTGATGGCCAAGCCGTAGAGGCTCGACGCCGAGGTCTTGACATCGAAGTTTGTGATTATTGCTACGTTAGGGATTATCTGTCGCCTGTGAGAGAGTATTGAGTACTTAGTATGTCAAGGTCATGACATACAACTTCAACTGAATCTTCGTCCCACTAACAAACCGCCACGCTTGGTCAACCACAAAAAAACACCTCCCACCCATCCATCCCAAGACACTTCAAAACCCCCTTTTCCCGCCCACCATCCGGGGGGCAAGAAAAAAAAATCCACCCATCCTAACCCAAACACAGAAGAAAAAAGATGGGCAAAAAAATGTGCTGATGTTCTGAGGCATAGCTGATTCGAACAGCTAACCTTCTGGATGTTCCAGAATCAGAAACTGGAATCAGACGCGCTACCATTGCGCCAATGCCTTGGATGAGTTAGTAAGAAACTCATTGGCTGTGTGGTAGACTGGTCTGACTTACCCCTTAATCGGTTTGTTTGATGGAGGTTTTGTCGTTGGCAAAATATATATACACGGCCACGATTATGGGAGGGGTGGGGGGTGTGCCGGCTTTTTTTTTGGGGTTTTCTTTTTTTGGGTGTGCGTGCCGAGGAGGGTTGGGTGTGGGCGGGCTAATTACATGGGATGGGGCTTGGTTGGTTGGTTGGTTGGTTGGGGATCCTTGCTTCCGCTTACGATACCCACTGGCACCGTTATGTATATACCCCACCCTATCTACCCTCTTCGACGGCCTAATAACGGCTTTTGATGTCCAAGTCAAGCGCGTGTGATTTATTTTTCTTCTCGAAGATTTGGAATATCGGATTAGACCATGCTTCACCTTTAGAGCATAACCAAGTCAACTTTACAAGAGCTAGGATATGCAAAAGACACGGAATCTATTGTATGCTGGCCTGAACCTATCATCTATGTACTATCGCACAAGCTCGTCGCCGTCAGGGCCAATATCCTCACACATAGCACACATGAATCACGCCTTGCCGTCCGAAAACTGTACAACAGCCCACTTCCCGCTCCACGCCCACTTGCGGCTCCCAGAGTCCCCACCACCACCCTCAGTCGCCTTGATCCTCTCGTCCTCGCCTTCGGGCAGACCGACAACAACATCGGCCTTGCACGTCCTGAGCGCAAGCACACGTACACCAGAGCCGGGTCCGAGCGAGCCGATAGCCTCGGTGAAAGGTGTGGTAGCTGGCCAAGCCGCCTGTGCATTGCATGTTAGTCACGGTATCGCTTAAGAGTCCAAGGTGTGACTTACATCGGCGGTGAGTTTGCGATAGTTTAGATCACCCTTGAAGATAACGAGTTCGCTCTCCTTCAAGTCGTTGTGGAGAGCAGGGTCCGAGGTTGGTAGGCGCCAGAAGCTGCCGCATGCCGTCCAGAAGATGTTCGGACGGAGCACGAGCTGGCCTTCGGCGTGGATGCGACTCCAGTGGCTGAACAAAAATTGCAGGTCCTCTACCTCGGAGGCAGAAAGCGGCACCGACGTCTTGCCAGCGTGCTTCTCGTCATCTGAGAGTGCACTGTAGAAGGACTGCGGGTCGGAGAGGGCTTGGATAAGGGCGCCAAAGTCCTGAGGTAGAACGTCCGAAACGAACCACGGTATAGATTTGGGATGGAAGACGACGGTCGTCGCAAGACCGGAGGCGAGCAGATAGCCAGCCAAGATCAAGTCGACGAAGAGCTCGAAGCCGGCGTTGTCGAGAACAATGTCCACCCTCCTCTCTTTCTGGCCCGACTTCTGTGCAGCCGACAAGACGTTGAAGGCTTTGCCCAGATCATTGACCAAGATGTTCTTCTCGCTCGCCTTCCTCGCCTCACTGCCCTGCAACTTCTGGATATCCTCGTACGTGAGGTTCGTCAGGAGACTCAGATCCGTGGCATTTCCCCACAGACAGATCTCGCACATCTCCATGAAGAGTATCTTCTCTGCCTCCTCCAGCTCTTCCTGTGTCTTGGCGCCCCTGATAGTGTTCTTGGACTCGAGTTCGGTGACGATGGACTTGTAGCGTCCAGCGAGCTCGATGACGGCCGGGCGCGAGGACTTGAACGTAGACATTTTCTGGCGGCCGAAGATGTCGTAGGACTTCCAGTGTGTGGTGCGCTTAAAGATGCTAGATATGCGTCTACCTGGGGCTGTCAACGCCTCTCCTATTTCTTACGCCAATTCCTCGGATATCAGAGCTCTGCATACCGGTATAGATAGCACTCTGAGTACAGCCATGGTACTTTGTGCCACTTTGTATCCCCTAATGCTTGCAGTTCCTTGTTGTATTCTGCGATATCGGCTTCGCCATCGTCCTCGATCGCGGTGAGTTCGCGGTCGTGCTGGAGCTCGTACTTTAGCTTCGCCAGCTCGGCAACAATCGCCTTTCCCTCCCTGAGCTTATCCTCGTCTTGAATATCATAGGTCGATCGATGCACGTCGTCGATGCCTTGGGTGATGATGATGGGCCATCGATCGCGCGCCGAGGTGTAGGCAAAGGACGTCGGGTCGCTGGTGTTGTATTGGACTGGGAGGTCAGCACATGGCACGAGAGGATGGAATTAGATACCCACGTGTCTTCGGCTCTTGATCCATTGCTACCGATCTGTTGAGTGTTTCTTGACTACTTTGACGGCGGGGGAGGGGCTATATGAACTTTTTGACAGGGGTTGCGGCTTAGGACATTTCATGCCTTATCGATAGGCCTAGCCCGAGTAGGCATACTATCCGGCACAGAGCGTTGCACCACCAAAGGCGTGTCTGACCAGTCCCACGGACTCGTCATCCACACCGACTTATCAGGGTACAGCCTGTCGTTGGTTATTCATGGAGCAGTTGAAGCCTATCCATCTTCCTCTCGAGCTTGTTCTCAACATCATCACCTGCTCGCTACCGAAAGCCAACGTCCTACTTGCCCCATCGCATCCAATCACGCAGCTCCTACTCTCCTTTACCTTAGTCTGCAAAGAAACATGCAGAGTCGCCAGACGATGTCTCTTACAGCATTGCGTGTATTTGTCTTCTGAGGCACGTCTAAGCTCCTATCTTCTAACGATATCGACGCGGCCACAATACCGCACCATCACGGCCCTCTTTCTGGCGCCTTTTGGCAACACCATTGATAATCAGCCAACAGCAACATGGGTACGCGAGTAAGTGACTCCTGTTACACATGTAGATTTTTTCGATTTGAACTTCTGATAGGCTATTCAACTACACATGTACTACACTTAAACGACTCATCATCGACATCCCTCTCCGAAGTCTGTACCCAGAAGACGACCATCTAGGTGTTAGGAGAATCCTTCACCAAGGCTTCAAGCGTCTCGAAAATCTCGAAGAGTTGGTTAGTGTTCGGGATGAGCTCTACCTCAGCCTGGTGGATGTCGTTGCCGGCGAACCAGCCTTCTGGACATTCTTCCCTAAACTGCGAAGACTGGCCGTCTATAACCCTGATATCAGCCCCAGCTTCTGGCGCGATATCTCAAAGATGGAGAAACTTGAGACTCTTGTATTGACGCGTGCGGATGGCATTCGCAGCGACTCGAACTTCAAGACAGAATACTTCGCCCACTGCGATCGAAACCTGAAGGTTCTTCTGGTCAATGTAGATGACGATCAAGTACGATACGGGAATATGAGACGACATAGGTGGAACAATGTAGATCCGAAAAAGAAGATGACCATTTCTACATACACCATTCCGTTGTTCATGGATGATGATGCCATCGAGGTCTGCCAGGACTATATCAGGATTGGTTCGGAGTATGGGACGCTGTGGGATTGGGAGGGCGAGATTATTCCTCATCCACCCATCATTGTGCAATTAGTGGCTTCGGGAGCTTGATACTATGGGAGGATATTACATTTCGATATGTGGAAAGCTAGTCCTCAGTTCTAACACATGGAAGCCACCCTATTGTCCCCATCAACATGCAATGTACATACTCCGGAGGTGCTTTGCGGATACTTTCATGTACCGTTCTTTCCGACATTTCGTCATTGTGAGAGCTCTCCAGTCGCTTATCCGAACCCATCCACGTGCCATCCAGTTTAGCAAAACGTAAGCTATCCTTAGTTTGGTTACTCGGTGACGCTAGTAGATCAATGCGCTTGAATTGGCTCTGAGTTCGTGAGCATCTCCTCCATCTCATTTACGTTCGTGCAAAATGTACAAACCAGCTCCACCCCGTCCAAAGAAGACCAACATCGTACGCACCCGTACGGGCTGCAAAGAATGCCGGAGGAGACGCAAAAAGGTCATATGAGCTCGAATCTGGACATTAGATAGGTTAGAGCTAATGCCACCTATAGTGCGATGAAAAGAAGCCTTCCTGTGCTACCTGTATGAAGCTTGGGAGGCGTTGCGAGCCAGTCTATCCCAATCTCGTATTCCATACGAGTACCCCCGGGGGTCAGCAGAAACACACAGGGCATGATCTATCCATTCCTCCAGAGAGCGCCTCTCAAAGACCAGCCTGCCAGACAAGCCATTACAGCACCCAATCGTCGGCTGAATCTACTTTAAGCCCACAGGGACGGAATAATAATGATCAGCCAGAAAGCTACATAGAACAACCTGATAGCCTCGATGGTGAGCACAATCTAGTGTCTCCAAGACTTTTCCCAGGAGTGTTGCAGCATCGAAATACCACCGAGCCAATAAGATTTTACATCAACGTTTGGAGACATCAGTGCTTACCAGCACTGCATCTAGCATTCCATCCTCTCGAGTCTAACAACAGTTCGCCACGTCTCATCAAAGATATCATCATCGCTCTCTCAGCCTGTCGTCTAAGTCGAGCACTACCGCAGAAGAAGATATGCAATGCGCTGGGCATTCCTGGACTAGTATTGCGACCGGATACCGGTCACGAGGCTTTAAGTCACCAGCATTACGGAAAGGTTATGCGTAAGATAGCAAACTGGAGTTCTGAAGATTTCAACGTCAACCCGACCTTCAGCGTTGCGATATTGGTCCTATTTTGCTACCTTGAATCCTCAATGGGCAACTTCAGAGAGTTCCGCGTTCATTCAGATGGCATCAAGAGGATGATACAGAGTTTTCCGCAATCGGCGATTGTTAAAGGAGCTGATCCCCTAGCAGCTTGGGTAGAAGTTGAGATACAAAATTGGTGGCGCAGGGTCTATTTCAGTACTCCCGAGTTCCATCGTACCCATGACTCTTTGCAGCTCCATACACATTTGGAGACTGTATTGAACACGGCGGATCACCGACGAGCGACTATACTCTTACTTCTTTGCGAGTCCCATCGCCTCAGTACCATGGCTGTTGTTTCGTGCTGGGAAGATCCGGAACACACCTCACTGACAGAGTACGCAAAGTTGTTAGAAGCTCAATCGACTAAACTGGAAGACTGGCTTTTTCGCCTTCCATCCTTCGAGTTACCAACTTCCGGGG